AGGTCATTCTTAAGAATCTTCTTAGAATAAAATGAAGCCAAGTAGGGGAGTGGAGTGGTTTCATTGGCTACAACTTTACACGCTCTCCCTTTGTCTCTCTCCTATAATACAAACCTTCTTCTTCTTGCCTTTTGCTTCACCATCTCTCTCCAATTTCTGCACTGTTTCTCTCTCTACCATTTGAGTTTTGTTTTCCTCTTACGATCCCCTTTTGCAGATTTTCAAGGATTCTTCAAAGCTGAAGTCTTTTCTCTAGCTAGATTCTTCAATATATGCTTACATCTCTCACCAAATCAGGTTCTTTGATTCCATCCTCACTATACTATTCCTTGTATTTCCCCTTTTGATTCCTATTTATCAGTAGATTCCTATAAAAAAAAGCTTTCAGGTCTTGCACTAACCCACAAATCAAGCCTCAAGCTTCCAAAAATTTAGTTGAAATTGATTATACTAAGTACTTTATAGGTGAAGCTTTTCTCTAGTACTAGCCTTTAAACGATGGAGACTTTGCATCCACTACTCTCTCACGTGCCCACTTCTGACCATCGGTTCGTAGTTCAAGAGATGATGAACTTGCAAAGCTCGAGCTGGACTAAAGAAGAGAACAAGAAGTTTGAGCGAGCCCTCGCTGTTTATGCTGATGACACGCCTGACCGTTGGTTCAAAGTTGCTTCTATGATCCCTGGCAAAACCATCTCAGATGTCATGAAGCAATACTCCAAGCTTGAAGAAGATCTCTTCGATATCGAAGCAGGACTTGTCCCCATCCCTGGTTACAATTCAGCTACTCCTTGTGGATTCGATCAGCTCGTGAGTCCCCGTGACTTTGATTTGTATCGTAAACGGCCTAATGGAGCCAGAGGATTTGAACAAGAGCGGAGGAAAGGAGTTCCATGGACGGAAGAAGAACATAGGTAATAACAGAATACTGATTCCTTGATACACAAGTCACCTTTTTAGGTTTCTTGAGTTAGAAGTTACTCTTCTGTTTTCTTGGTTTGCCGATGTTTTGTTTTCATTTTTTCATTGCTCTCTGCAGACGATTCTTGTTAGGTCTTCTCAAGTACGGGAAAGGGGATTGGAGAAACATATCGAGGAACTTTGTGGGATCGAAAACGCCTACTCAGGTTGCGAGCCATGCTCAGAAATACTACCAGAGACAGCTCTCCGGTGTCAAAGACAAACGTCGGCCTAGCATTCACGACATCACCACCATCAATCTTCTTAATGCTAATCTCAGCCGTCCGATGTCTGATCACGATGCCGATCCGAAACTAGGGTTCACGAACAGGGATAATGCAGAGAAGGGAGTGATGTTTCTTGGTCAGAATCTTTCCTCAGTCTTGTCTCCCTACGACCATGTCGTTAAGTCCGCCGGGGCAAATGATTATGGCTTTTGAGCTTATTGCGAAAGCCACTGCATTATGTTTTATGGTTAAACTTAATAGGATAAATGATCAGATGAATG